TACGTCTGAATTCTGAATCTTTTCAAGGTTCTACACGTCTTCTGATCTTTCTTCAAATTGTTTGATTTATCACGACTACTACAACAGGGTTATCAACGAGGTTTGTTCTCCATTTAAGAGGAAACCAATCGTGTTTTGTGAGTGTCAAATGATCATTTGATCTCCTAAAAAGGGATGAAAGTGAAGAAATCTTTGTCTTGGTCGAAGAATGTTTGAAAGCTTTTTTCCCTTGATATTACCTTGCTGCAGAACTGGTTGTTTGTTGACGTAGAAGACATGTAATTTTGGCGTAGTTTTATACTATTATTCATCTTGTGTTGCCCACAATTTACAAATATTGTCTCTTTATACTGCAGCGAATCGGTTTAGACTACCTCCTATTTTCCAAGGATACTGATAGTTGATGGTTCGAATAACGCAGTGGTTAGAAGTGCGTTGCGACACACGTGGTTATTTAAGGTTCACAAAGTCACTCCTTCGGGGTTGGCGATTTTACCAAACTTGTTTAGGAAGATAGCATCATTGACTTGGTACATCGGTAGGCCACCGCGAGTCACTGTAAAATCCAGATATGCATTAATCACATTAAAACGATGCTTGCTGAAGTCGAATGCATGGCGCTTTTTTCAATGGATTGGTCACGCTGAGAGCTTTGCCCTTTGTCAGTTTTATCATCAGTTAGAGGGATTGTGACCAGTAGTTGGTTTGGTAAGCAGTCAACAACGAATGCCCTATGGAACATCACAGCCAGGATGTCCTCGAGATTGCAAGGAGACGCGAGTTTTCTACGACGTTCAAGGAAAAGACGAAAAAGCTAATTGATTGCTAGAAGTACTGCGCAGTGGAAAAATACAATGTGGAGACAGATCAGATAAAAGTGACATGGAACTTGGTGTGGAAACATAGGCTTCTTCTTTTCCAGTCCTGGTTGATCATTTGAGGAACAATCTTGGTCCTCAGCATTTCTATTCAAATACTGAATCAGATAATAGTCAGTGTGTAGGTTCTTTGTCGATGAAATACAGGTGTGTATACATGGTCATCTGTCTGAGTGCTGCTAAAACCCACAATATCTCTATTGCATTGTCAGTAGTTTTTTTCAGTAAATGTAATTTGTGTACTCGTAATCATAGTCCTCTAGCGAGGGGTTCGGCTAGTGGCTAGATGAGGTAGTGCTTCGTGTCGTGATTCTTCGCAGTTTTGCTTGTGTAATGCACTTGTGGAAGACATTGAGGAACAGATTTATGTCTGTTAAATGCGACAGAAAACAAAACATCGACTGCGAGGTATAGAACGAAATCTTAACATGGAAATCCGTGTATACATAATGCCGTAAAATCTCATTAAGAATAAGACATGAAGTTTGTCCAAACAATTTGCGGACAATTTGGATGGGTTCTTTTCTGTTGTGCGAGTACAATTGAGAATGGGAACTCTTTCGCTAGGCAGGAACTTTTCACAAGAATGTTAATAATCATTCAAAAGCTTGATTTTCTGGCTGCTGCGCTACGTGGGCATTTTTGAAAAATCCTTTATGTAACGCTTTAGCAGAAAGGGAACTTTGTGTTTATCACACTCAGATTTCTCGTAGGGCAAAACTCTTTCTTAAATTCTAAGTAATCATTTAATAGTGTAAATTTCGACGATTTCAACGCTGTACTTATTTTCTGGAAAGACCGTTTCACTGCGGTGTAGCAAGAAAAATAAGATCGAGTTTCACATACGCGGCGCATATGTTTGTTGGATAAGGTGTGGGATGTGTGTCTGCTGGCCGTGGATTCGACGTGGCGTTCTGCTCACATATAGGGTGCAATTTTTGTTATTTGATAGAGGATTTCTTCTTCTCTTCAATAGAAACTTCACATAAGACGCATGATTCTGGTATCAAAAGATTTCCTCTGCATTATCATATGCTTTTCGCCCTCCAGCGAAGTGATGATAAAAGCACGTAGCGCAGTAGCCAGGGATTTCTGCTTTTGAATGATTACTCTACGTGTAAGAAAGTGTTTCCTAATGAAAAGGGGACGTTTCTTCATTTGTTCCGAGATAATCGAAAAGAAGCTTTACATGAATATTCCATTTTACCGCTACCAGTGTTTTTTTTATCATACCAGTGTTATGTGCTGAAGCTACATATCTCAAGATAATGAGTGTTATGCAAAATTTTTGATCCCGGGCGGCAGTTGTGCGCGTTTCACCCTTTACCGGGGGTACTTCCTACCACTGCGCGGCGGAAGCCTCCACTTTGCCGCTACTCTTTCACTCCCAGTATGGGTGAAAGTCGAGCTGAACTCCCGCCTAGGGTGGAAACTTTTGTACACCACTCAGCATCGTTGGATTTGGATAGATGAAAAAGCTGAAGGCCATGAATTTTTCTAGGTTTCGCGGAAGGAATCACCACCACTCATCCTGTTAACCCTTGATACAACGTTTTCGAGTGCTGATAACAAATATCGCATGCCTATGAGAGCTTATCTTAGGTGAACCCGTAATTTGATTTACGAACTGTGTTTATCGAGAACAAAAGTTCTACTTGATTTCTGTTACAGAACGATGGCTGGCATTCCTCGTGCCCGCGATCCCCACTGCGCCATATTTAATCCACTTCGTGTCGAACTGGATGCCTTCCCGGGCGAATGTGTAGCGATGCAGTTGATTGAGGTGAATCGTACTAACACAGTTATTCGCAGTGGAACTGTAGTAGGAATTTTATGCTGCGATGTTCAGAACGCTCTTGACTCAAGACGTCGTGAAGTTACCATGGAGAATGGACTGGAGCAGCTTGAGAGAAGTATCGGAAAAATAATTGAATGGCTTGAACGTCTTCTTGAGTAAGTCCCATCATGATCGGCCGGAATTTTGATGATTAAGACAAAAATTCTTTATTGAACCGCTAATGCGGAGCTAAGAATGCGGCTCTGAAAAGAGAAGCGCGGTTACGAGTTCTGTCCGAGTTCTAAAGTTTTTCTTATCACTCAACATTGTTGAATGAATGATTCCGACGTTTTCAAGGTATGTTAATGAGGTGATGTCACGTGATGAACTTCCTGCTGATGCAACAATGGGTCGACGACTTATGGATATCGTTAACACGGCTGCTACACACATGCAAGTCGAGAAACTTGATAGCCTCGTTAAGAATAGCCTTAGGGTACGTTGACATTCTTGTTCTTTGGTTTCTACATGACTGTTGATTGTATGTGTTTCCAGGACTACATGATGATATCATACCTAGCTAATCTGACAAATACACAGCTTCAAATACACGAAAGGATGACGAACATTTGATTAGTCATTGTATCAGTTGTTGTTTATCATCCTTTCTTAGTCATTTCTCAAATTTATTATTCGGTTCGTCCACGTTCGGCGTCTTCTCTAAAAGCTAGCACGTCGTTCAGCTTATTTTTTGTTGCTTTTTCTTTGTTACAACATGATGTCAAGCTAGGAAATGTTCTAGTTTGACGGTACCATTCATCCATATTCTGATGAAATGTCATTGAATTCATAGTAGCCTATCATGGTTGAGCCTCGGATCTGTGTTTGCCAGTGATAGTAGGTATTCCTTGTATTTTCGTGCCCTACACACCCTTAAAATTCCGTGATTGAAGAACATTTAATGTTGATTGTTCTCATGAGAATTATATGTGTTGTATAATCTCTATCTCCTCTGACAAGTTTTCTGGGTAATTGTTGTTTTTTTTGTTTTCAAAAAAAAATGTTTTTGTTTGTTGTTTCATTTGCTTCGTATCAATAGGCGAAAGGTGTACCAAGTGAAAAAACATTTTCGACTCAATCGGCGGTCTTCATACGCGCCATGGATTATCAGAGGAGCCATAAAGTATTGGAATGCCACAATAAGGTACATAAGTTTGTCATATGGTACCCGCCAAGGCTCCAGTTTTCATCGACAACAGGAAGTGGAAGGATACTGATTCCGCTTGAGCAAACTTTTTGTCATGAGATAAAATCGCATGAGCTTATTTTGAGCCAAAAGTGATTGGGTATAGCGTTTAAGGTTATCAACTGAAATTTTGCCATGAAGAATGAGTAGAAAACAGCTTCAGAGAACGAGAACCTATGGAACTGCAACGCAGGCGTTTCTATTCATCTCATTCCATGCCTCATTTCCTCTGTTAGACGACGTTTGTCCTGAGACATGTTTGACAAAGTGTGCGTTCTCTATCAATCCTCGGTAGTATAGTGGTTAGTATCCCGTCTGTCACATGTGAGACCCGGGTTCAATTCCCGGCCGGGGAGAACGTTTTTGATTGTCAATGTTAAAAAAGTACTCCTTCCACCTTTTATTAATCTGATTTATTCTATCTTATTTCTTCTAATTTGATCTCCCACCAATCTTCTACTTACAGAAGCCATACGAGTATTTTCTGAACACTGAAAATCAAAAACGTACTCCCCGGCCGGGAATTGAACCCGGGTCTCGCATGTGACAGACGCGGATACTAACCACTATACTACCGAGGATTGGAACTGTCAGCGGACTTTCGCTAGTTCCCCTTGCCAGTAGGGGACGGGATTCATGACGCATGTTATGGCGTTGTATCTATTATACTCAACAAGGAGATACAAAAATAGGCGAAGAAGTTCTTCTTTTACAAGGAGCTGTCCAGAACCGTATCCACTGTGATAGCAACACTTGGAAGATAACTTTACGTCTCATTGAGTCAAAAAATTGTTGCATGATTTATGTTTTGATTTTAACCCGCATCAAAGCTTTTTTTTATTGTGCGAGTTTCAGTACTTCTATCATCCAGTTTGTATCGATTTGTCTTTCCTTCATAAACGTTGTAGAATACTGTTGAGCACGTTTCCTTGTAATCCCGAGAACAGTCAGGCTGAGACGTTCCGTGGGCGTTCGTTATTAACCCTTTCGATCGCGCGCAGTTGTGTTGCCTGACACGCGACGCGATCGCCGAGTGGGCGGGCGCGCTTTAATAAAAGTGTGGTAAATCCAATAATGTGGAGTGGTGTGCAAAAACGTTCGCGTCAGCTGGGATTCGAACCCAGGTCTCACTCTTTCCGCGAGCGTGCTGAACCGTTGCACTACAGACGCCCGTTTTCTCTTTCTACGATACAACGCGTTATCTGTCAACAGCCAACCGTCAACAGTCTGACGAGGTAGTCGCCATCGACATTGAACCCACTTATGTTACCAGATATTAGGTATCAATAGCCAATCAGAAATCATTTTATTTGGCCACCACTTCCAATGGTATGATGTTACAATATGATAGGCGTCGGTAGTGCAATGGTTCAGCACGCGCTCCCGGAAAGACTGAGATCTGGGTTCGAATCCCAGCTGACGGAAATGTTTTTGAACACCACTCTTCATTATTGGACATATTGTAACATCATACCAGCGAAAATGGCGGTATTGAATGAATTCTGGAAAATATGGTAGTTTCCTGATGGTATTAGAATTTTATCACCAGTAAAGAGATTCTGATCGTTAATGAATGGTTAGAAGAGGTAGTAAAAGCAGCGACAGTTCTTCCTTAAAAACCCCGTAATGTTCGAAAAAAAAAACCAGCTGCTTACGAAAGATCAAATTTCAAGCTGTTATTGTACATAACTGAGCCAACTTCTATACATTTAGCCATATTTCAATCATTTTTATCGATCATTTCCTATATCAAACACAACTCACCTTTATTTGTTGCTATTAGGTGTAAAGAAATATGACTCCGCTTTTTTTTCATGAAATAATAGTAAAAGAGTTGCCATGACGAGTGATTGTGATGTTAGTCGCGGCGCATATAGAGTCGAGCTCCACCTCCCAGACCTCTCCGGCGGTGAACAACAAACCCTTGAGGAACGTCACAGCCAGACTTTCCTCCGATCAACTATTACTAGTCTGCTAGAAAAATTGTGCCCGACGATTGATCATGAAAATTCTAGGTACACTTGGTCTCTGAAAGGCTAAAGGTGAAGTCCATGATCTAAGCTTCAATACGTCTAGTCGCTGTGGTGGGTCATGTTTGCTGAGTCACTAAGTCACTTTTTCTTCGAGACGTCGTTTATCCATAGACGACATCGTAAGTTCCCAAGAAAGGGAAGAATTATGAGCTAGAATTAAAAATTTTCAAAAATTTTATAGTAGAGTGTATGTATGTGATTTTAAAGAGAGTTGAGCGAAGTGTGTCTCTCGTATTCGTTGAGTCCTGAAATCTTTCAACTTCTTGAGTAGACTGACTTTAGGAATGGTGCGCGATAAACAGAACTCTTGCCTGCGGGACTGTTTTGCATATTACTCAACAATCCTAGATGAATGTCGTGTGAGCCTTTGCTTAATGAATTGAACACTTGAAGTCGATGTCCTGGTCCAAGTGGACGTCTGATTTTTCGCAGCTCTCGCTGATAAACCTACATCTGTCCAAATGCCATCGCCAAGCTAGCAAGTGGCTACGACTTTTGTCGTAATTCGGTTTCCCTGTGTACTTCGCACATCTCATGCGTATCGCTGTTGTGCGTCGGTAACACTAATACATGCCTCTTTCGTATGATTAACCATATCCATCACAGTGATTAGAAATGGAGTTACAGAGGATCATTAACCAAAGGTTGCTTTTATATGCATCACATATTTAAAATTTTTCGCTTGCCTCACAATTTAGAACTGAGAGCGCGTGGTGTAATGGTTAGAGGTCACTTGCGACACAAACGTCCTGCTCTGCCATCGTTTCATAAACTTTACGCATCGCTCAACATTGTTGTATATATGGTAGAGACATCATAGCGGTGCCATAAGAAGCGACAAAATTAGAATTCTTGCAGGTTAGGTTGCAATTATTCCTATACAAATCCTCTCAACGATTTACCATAATATTACATTAAGAAAAACGTTCCTTGACGCTCCCTGAATATTCAAAATTTATAAATAAATTCTATTACAAGCAGCAATTATTCTTCAAAATAAACAGCATCATTATCCACGACCTTCTGCCAGCAATCTACAAGCTTCTGGATCTGCTCGAAATCAACATTCCTTGGGCACTGGATCGAAAAACTCCCGATATGCCTTTTCAGTTTGGTCAAATGTCGAACACTACTGCTTAATTAGCAAAAGCAAGGGCATACTTTTGCTAATTGGAAATAGAATCTAAATCTCACAATGGACAGACGCTGGTACTAATCACTGCACTGCCGAACATCCTGCGTAAATGCAAACTTTGTTAGGGTAATGGTGTCATAAATCCCGTCCCCTGTCGGCAAAAGGAAAATGCGGAAGTCCGCGCTCCTTTCCATTCCTCTGTAGTTTAGTGGTTAGTATCCGCGTCTGTCACATGCAAGACCCGAGTTCAATTCTCGACCGCGGAGTACGCTTTTGATTCTCAGTGTTCTGAAAGTACTCCTTCCCTCTAATAATGTGATCTCTTCTATATTATTTCTGTAGTCAAGTTCAAATCTAATCTCGTTTTACGCTTCTACTAATAGAAGATATGGAAAGGAGTACTTTCAGAACACTGAGAATCAAAAATGTGCTCCCCGGCCGGGAAGTGAACGCGGGTCTCGTATGTGGCAGACGCGGATACTAACCACTATACTACCGAGCATTGGAAGAGAAAGAGCCTTTGGCAATTTCGTTTTGCCAATAGGGGACGGAGTTTATGACGCCATCACCCTAACAAACTATGATATGCGGTAGTGCAGTGATTAGATCTCGCGTATGTCACTAGTGAGATTTAGATTCTATTTTCAATTAAGAAAAGTACGCTCTTATCCTTGCTATCTGAACAGTACTCTTCGAGATTTGACCAATTGAAGAGTCACATCGAGAGTTTTTGTGATTCAAAGCTCAAGGAACGTTGATTTCGAGAAGATCCAGAAGAATGTAGATCGCTTGCAGAAGATCGTGGATCCTGATGGTTTTTATTTTGTAGAATAATTATTGCTCCTTCTAATGGAATTTATGTATAAATTTTGAATATTCAGGGAGCGTCAAGGAACTTTTTCCTCAACCTAATGATATGGCAAATCATTGAGAAGACTTGCATAGGAAAAATTGTAATATAACTTGCAAGAATTCTGATTTTGTTTCTTCTTAAAGCAGCGCTATGATGTCACTACTATATATACAACAATACTGAGCGGTACGCAAAGTTTATAAAACGATGGCATAGCAGGACATATGTGTCGCAAGTGACCTCTAACCATTGCACCACGCGCTCCCAATTCTAAATTGCGATGCACGCGAAAAAATTCTACATATGTGATGCATATAAAAGCAACCTTTGGCTAATGATCCTCTGTAACTCTATTTCTAATCACAGTGATGGATATGGTTAATCATACGAAAGTGGCGTATATAAGAGTTACCGACGCACGACAGCGATACGCATGAGATATGCGAAGTACACAGCGAAACCGAATTACGACTTAAAGCGTAGTCACTTGTTAGCTTGGCGATGGAATTTGAGAAGGTATAGGTTCATCAGCGAGAGCTGCTAGAAATCTGACGTCCACTTGGTCCGGGACATCGACTTCAAGTGTTCAATTCACTAAGCAAAGGCTCGCAAAATATTCGTCTAAGAATGATGAGTGATATGCAAAACAGTAGCGCAGACGAGAATTGTGTGTATCGTACACCATTTCTAAAGTCACTCTACTTGAGAAGTTGAATGATTTCAGGTCTTAACGATTATGACACACACATTTCGCTTCAATCTCTCTAAAACCACATACGTACACTATACTATATTATTTTTGTGAAAATTTTTTTATTTGAGCTCATAATTCTTCTCATTCTTGGGAACGTACAATATCATCTATGAATAAACGACGGCTCCCAAGAAAAAGTAACTTAGTGATTCAGTGAACATGACCTATCACAGCGACTAGACGTATTGAAGCTTAGGTCATGGACTTCACCTTTGGCACTTTAGGAACCAAATATACCTAGAATTTTCATGATTTTTCGTCGAGCACAAGTTTTTAACTAGACTATTAATAGTTGATCGGAGGATGGTCTGGCTGTGGCGTTCCATAAGGTATTGTTATTGACCGCCGGAAAGGACTGGGAGGTGGAGCTCGGCTCCGTGTGCGCCGCGACTAACATCACAACCACTCGGCCATGGTGTCCCCTTTACTAATAATACATTCAGAGAACAGCGGAGTCATATTTATTTACAATTAATAGCAACACGACATTTTCAGAAATCATTTTATATGAAAGCCACTTGCGGTGATATGATGTTACAATATATCCAATACTGTGGAGTGATGAGAAAAAACGTTTGCGTCAGCTGGGATTCGAACCCAGATCTCACTCTTTCCGGGAGCGTGTGCTGAACCGTTGCACTACCGACGTCCATCATATTGTATTGTAGCATTGTAGCATCATACCACCGCAAGTGGTGGTCAAATAAAATAATTTCTGATTGATTATTGATACCCAATAGCTGTCAGCATAAGTGGGTTCAATGTCGATGGCAACTACCCCGTCAGACCGTTGACGGTTGGCTGTTGACGGATAACGCGTTGTATCGTAGAAAGAGTGGTGTGCAAAGTAGTGCAACGGTTCAGCACACGCTCTCGGAAAGAGTCAGATCATTGTCGAATCCCAGCTGACGCAAACGTTTTTGCACACCACTCGGCATTATTGGGTATACCACACTTTTATCAAAGAGCGCCCGCCCACACGGCCATCGCGTCGCGTGACAGGCAACGCAACAGCGCGCGATCGAAAGGGTTAATAACGAACTCTCACGGAACGTCTCAGCCTGGCTGTTCACGGGATTGCAAGGAAACGTGCTTGACAGCATTTAACAACGATCATGAAGGAGAGTCAAATCGATGTGAGTAGGGTGATAGAAGTACGGGAACACGCGCAATAAAAAAAAGCTTTGATGTGGGTCAAAATTTGAGCATAAATTACGCAACAAATTATTGAGTCGATGAGACGTAAAGCTATCTTTGAAGTGTTGCTATCATAGTGGATACGGTCGTGGACAACTCCTTGTAAAAGATGAACTTCTTCGCCTTTTCGGTATCTCCTTGTTAGGGTGTAATAAATGCAACACTATTCACCCATAACGCATATCAGTTGTTTTAAAAGCACACTTTCACTGTTACCAGATGACTCACGACTTGCCAGCACAAAGCATTTTAGAAGTGTTGACTGGATCAAAGGCTTTAAGAAGCTGGAAATTGATCATATCAACTAAGCCGTGACTCACGATTGTAAACATGACAGATAGCAAAGACGTTAGGAGAATTATGAAGCTGCGACGGTTGGTCTAATTTTCTTGAATCAAAGGCAGTGAATTTCTGCTCTTCAGAAAACACAATTCCACTTGAACATGAATTTTTTACCAAAATTTGTGACTTGATCTACGACTGATAACGAAAGGCTTCGCTTGACAAAACGAACGAAGCGAGCACTCGTCAACTAACTAGCGTACACAGCACAGTGGTTTTTTTGTAGTATAGAAGGCGATTGATGTGTGCTTCAGTGGTCAAGTGTGGACGATGCATGTTATCAAGAGGCTACTTACTAGAAGGCAACATGCTAGTTGGGCCTCCTCCCCCACTGTTCTTTTAAATCATCAGCAAGCGCCCTTGTTCGGCTATTTTCGAGACTGCAAAAAGTTTCATTGGACGGCATTCTACGCCATCCATGTTTTAGACAAACTCTGAGCTGCAGGAGAAACAACATTCGACAAGTTCCAAAACCTTCAAGACACTGGGCGCGAGAGAATAAATCATAGGCTGCGAATACTGGGAAACCTTCAGTGAAATATCACAACGGGTTAGAAAGAATAGAGATAAAATAATATATAGTAGTTTTGAAGGCTATGGACATTTTATCCAGAAAATATTGCATATCATTGAGGAGCCTGAGGTTGGTCACAACAAAGCGAAAGAAGCGTCCAAGAAATTCGGTGTCAATATTCTCCAGAATAACGCTTGACCGACAATGCAAGGTTGACTCGCCACACCTTGGATTTATTGCGCTGAACCACGATGCCACAGCCAGTGCAAAGTCCTGGATTTCGTTTCATCGGACTATCGTCTCTTCCACGCACTGAAGTTGTATCTGGGAGGGGAGGAGGGGCTACAGCCAGCTTAGAGGGTGACCACACGAGCTTCTTTGATCTCCAACCTTATTCTTCCTGAAAGGAACATATGCAGTCTCTACCTATCAAATCGTTGCATACCATTGTTCGAAAGGTATTGAAAATACTGATTGAGTGACCCCGATAAATAAAAGCTGAATTAATGAAAATGCCGAAATGCGAGAGAATTCGTAAGGCAACATAATATTCATAAGCACTGGGTTGGAAAGATTGTTGTGAGGCATTTTAATGGGCATGAAATAACTCACATGCATATAATGGGAAATTACAGTTTCTCATGAGAAATTTTCCCGCTGAAGGCCTAGATATTATTTGTCCTTATTTTCACTTTGTTACAACCCTCCGCTATGTTCAACGTTCCGATTAAAGTTCGTGTTTTATTGAGTCACAATTGGAGAAAGGGTCTTTCATAGCAAGCTGCAGTCGATAAAATCAATGAGGTTGAAAGGGAAGACACAACAAGCAAATTTGCTGTTGGACGCTGGTTTGAACGCTTTAATGGTGGAGATCTTGTCCTCTAGGACAAGTCAATCTAACCAGCAATCAGTTGGCTGACAGAAAGCGCTTCCGATGCAGCAGGACAATGGCAGACCACACACTTCCAAAAGACCAAAGGTAAATCTAATTAACTGCATGCAGTCAAGATTCTGCCGCATATCTCCTACAGTCAAGGTCCCTCCGATTTTATCAATGCTGGAGGTCTCTTTATATTTGAAGGCAAGCCTCGTTCAGGACGTCCAACAAAGTTGAGCTGCGAAAATTTGATTGCTGCTTTGGAAGACGAACCGTCGTCATGTGCTCGCAAATCAGCAGCCGAACTTGATGCTTCTCATGCAACTATGCTAACTCATCTCCATCAGCTTAACTTTGACGACAAGAAGCTACAATAAGATTCCCACAAATTCACTGGAGCACATGCAGCCAAAGGAGTCAAAATTTGTCTTCTCCAAAATGACTGATTTCGGAAACGCATTGTGACTTTAGACGAGAAGTTGGGTGCCAACCTGGTCAAGCGCAGTCGAGACAAGCAGTATGTTCGAATTCAAATCACTCCGTCAGTCCCGAAGCACAACCAACTTCCAAAAAAGGTCATGTGGTCACTTGGTGGAATTTGGGGTAGTCGTACATTTTGAGCTGGTTTTAAACGGAAAATGCTATCAACGTCGAGGTCGAATGTCAGCAGTTAGGCCGAGTCTATGACAAGTTTCAGCGCAAAGTGCTCACCTGACCTTGGTGAATCGAACACGCGTTCTGATGCAGTAAGACAATGCTAGAAGCTACACTGCCAAAATGACCACAGACAATTTTGATGAATTGGACGGAGTCGATTTTCTGCCGCATCCCGCTCACAATCCAGATTTTGTCCGACTTTTGCCTTTTTCGATCCGAATGCAACACTTTTTGACGAGTCGCCGATTTGAATCGTTTGATGACGTTGAAGAAACATGTCAGCAGTTCTTTGATTTGAAGTGGAAAGA